AATGACATATACTGCATGGAATAATTTGGATAGTGCTAACAAAGTCCAAAATCCCTATCATATCACTAAGAGACTGAAATTTTTTCATGCTTACAAAATACAGTGCCACTGTGCACTCTCAGATATAGACAGATCTTCATCAGTTACATGGGCCATTTAAAATCTAAGCAATAATCAAAGTTTGTTAAATGAAAAAGAATACACTCAAGTAGAAAATAAATTAGTTTTGAAGATCTATAGTTATCAAAACAATAAAGAGTAAAAGTATCTTATCAACATTAAATTATCTCAATTATGTTTTAAACTGACTGAAGCACTCAACTTTATAACCAAAGTAATTACTAAATGGTTTCAAGGACCACAAAACCCCCGGAAAGTGGGTAGTTCCTTTAGTTGACACTCTTTTGGAGGAGGGAAAACCAAAAGGAAGGAAATTACTACTTCCTTGCTCTGCGGCCATTACATGTTTCCTGTTACTATCCAGCAGTTGAAGAACCTCCTTATGGCAGTTAGCAGTCAGCTACATTGTCCTGCATAACCATGTCTTTATAGAAAGCCAGCATGTGAAACAGAGGATAACTGAGTAAATCACAGAGTGAAGCACTGGAGGAAAATGGAAGGGAGAGAGAAACTCACTGGATTTAAAAAAGAGCTAGATGATACACTAACACAGTAGCTAATTTACGTAAAGATTAAGATAGGTGTAATAAGACTTCAACATCCAGAACATAAGTTGCTTTTCACATAGTCAAATAAATTATATTTCTATAGTATTTCCCATCAGAGAATCTCATAAGAATTTAGAAATAAAGTTCTGCCAAAACATTTTTTGCCAAAAAAAAAAAAAAAAAAAAAAAGATTTGGGTTATCAAACATTTTCTGAATGTGTGTCGCATTCTTCTAATTGTTTCAGTTAAAAAAAGAACTTTCAAAAAACTTTCAAAACTAAATGTTTTGTTTTGACCTTTTAAAAATAAAACACTTGATTTTTTTTTATTAAAAACAAAAAGTTGCTTAATGTTATTAAAAATAAAAATGTAAAAGCTCAAAAACTAAAAACAACACTTTATTTTAGGTCGAACATTTTGTTCAACGCAAAATTATGTCCCCTATCTTTTTGGCTCACTGAACATTTTGATTTTTTGTTTCAAGTCAACCCAAAAAGATTTGTTCCCATCAAAACAGACAGTGAACTACAAAACTAGTTATTTGTACAACTCTATTTAGAAACAGTGGGTAAAATCCCCATCAAAGTCAATGGTTAAAATTCCATTAAATTCAGTGGAGCGCAGATTTTACCCACCATCAGTGAGGTAAGCTTTAGAACAACTTCAGAACATGGGAATTGTCATAATAGACCATGGGACTGGCTAGTTCAGCATCCAGTTCCTGACACATACAGAAGAACTAGATGTTTCAGAGAAAGATGCAAGAAACCTTGGAGTGAACAATTATGGAACCGACTGCCATAAGTTTCTTCCTAAGCTCCATCAATTAATGCAACTATGTAGGTCTACACTGTCTAACTAAAGAAATGTCTAATCCTTTTTCAAATCATGCTAAGCTTTTAGCATCAATTATATCCTAGGCTTGTTAGGTATCATGTTAAAGTTTTGGGGTTTTTTTTTTTTTACTGCTTTCAAATTTGTTCTTTTTTTTGTTGATTATGCTTTTATATTCTGAGTAAGAATAGCCAAAAGAAATGGCTTTTTCTCTCTACTCTGCTCATCTGAGGAAGTAGGTTTTGCCCATGAAAGCTCACGATACTATATATATCTTTGTTAGATTCTAAGGTGCTACAGGACTACTCGTGGTTTCTAACAGAAATGGTTACTCATCCTGTGTAGTCACTGCTCTTCTTGAAGAACCAGAGTTACTGAACAGGGAGAGTAACCATTTCTTCTTCTTCAAGTAGTGTCCCTACACTAGATGACTACAGAACTGTTCTCTCTAAGCAGGAGGGGGCTTCAGAATTGAGCCCTATACCAAGAAAGAATATTCAAGCTGACTGCAACATTGGAAGCAGTGTCATGAATTACTGTGTGATACTCAGCAAGTATAGGGACACAAGTCACAGCTCTACATATTTCAATGCTGGGACCTTTTTGGAGAAAGGCTTTATAGTGAATTGTATGTCCAAAGGTGTTTGGATATTGCAAGATTGATAGCAAGAACAAATGCAACTGAATATCCATTTGAAAAATCTTTGTTTAGAAACTGCAGACCTTTTTGTCAGCAAATCAAGACAATTTGGGAGTCTATCTGAAGAGTCTAATCCTATCAGGATAAAAGACCAGGGCTCTCTTGTCATCCAGCATGTCCAAGTGTCTCTTCCTTGCCTCGGTGAGGTTTAGGATTGAAGATCAGAAGATGAATGGGTTGCTTAACTTGGGACTGTTCTGGGTCATTTGTGTGAGCTTTCAGCCACCTTCTCTTTCAGAGCACCTATGTCCTCCCTCAGAAGGGAGTATGGTTCCCTCTGCCAAACCCACTAGCCCCCGAATTTGTTCAGGTTAGTTAGTTAGTCCATGGTCAGTCTGAAATATCCTAGTTTATTGTCTTCTGAACCGAGGCTAGATTTTGGTCCTTAAAGTAAGTGCATGTTTACAAAAAGTAAACAAAAATGTTGTCTGTCAAATTCCCAAGACTAAGGGAGCAGAGTGCATTCAGACTACTTAAGTGAGATTCCAGTCATTGGGATTATGGGACAACAGACACATGCTGGAGCTCATCACCCATTTTGACTTACTCCAGACTCACCTGCCCAAAGAGTGATGGGGGGAGGAGGGAAAAAAACTTTTCCCACATACTTTATACTTTTATTCCTTTACATTCATTTTAGAATCCACTGCTGGTTTTCCTGAAACCAGCACCATCCATGGCTGGTTTTCGTGAAACCAGCACCTTTTGGCATTTCCTACAGCATTTGAAATAGTCATAGCTAGGGACAGAGAGGTCAGAAATATGAGCATAAACAAATAATTGTGAGACTAAAGCATAACAAACATTGGGCAGTGAAATCATGTTGCAAATCATGTTAAATAACCGTGGATTTATATTAGCCTCTTTTCTTTAGTGTTACCACAATGCAGCTCCAACCACTAGCCAAGACCAGCCACTAGTGCTTTAAACACTGCATAGGAGGGTTGTCTGAATAGCTGAACGTTTGGTTTGGTTGCAGATTGGAAAAAAAAAATTGGGTCAACCCAAAATGTTTAGATCAACCTGAAATGAAACATTTTATTTTCATTCTGAGGTTTTTAAACTTAAAAAGTAAACAATACTGAGGGAAATTAAAAAACAAAACATTTTTATAAAACAAAATCTCTTAACATTTAATTTCAGAAATGACTTTATAAATCGTTTCTACATTTTGGAGTTTTTTGGTCTTTCCTGATTGAAACAATTTGCTAAAATGGATCCCAATTTACAAACTGTTTTTGGTTGGCCCAAATTTGCATTTGTCAGTAACAAACGGTTGAATAAGAAATTTTTTACAAGCCATATTGAATAATCTGACCCTCCTCAGGACAACCAGAAGTGAGTTATTGTTACTCTGAAATAGAAATCAAATTTTTAAAACGTCTGTCTCTTATTTACCAGGCATGCTGAAACTCACTAACATCCATTTATAAGTATGCATTTGTATCCTGTGTTCCAAAGTCATTTTTTTCTTTGGAAAATATGTATCTTCTAAAAATAGATCCAAATTATAAACTGTGAATGAACGAGAATTGTTTTTTCTTTAAGATACATAAATAATCCAAGAGATGGTCTGAAAATTAATACTACCCTAACTGGTAGAGAGCAAAAATAGGGCAAAAATACACAGATGCACAAAATTATATTAGCGTGGGCAGAAAACAACTATTCCATTTCATGATACAGTCCAGGGTCTCAAAATTTGTTTTTATTTTTATGCAGCATAAATTAGGCCTTTTGAAAGTTTTTGTGACACAAATCTTTCTTTTTCTATCTCTCATGTGCTGGATCTGAGAAACTTTTCCAACAAAACTTTTGCAGCAATAAATGTTTCCATGAAGCATTTCAGTTTCAAGTAAACGTCATTTTTGGACAGAAAAGTTTCATGAAAATATTTTTACTGTGTCTAATGCTAAGGATTTGTTTCCATGATATAAGTTAGAGTAAGAATTTAATCTGATATAGTTATACTATTTATGTCCCTTTTTGGGACATTCACCCCACTTCTTTGGGAAGCTATTCCACACAAAAAAAATCTCATTAAAATAAATTTTCTGTGAATAATTACAAATTTAGGTTGAAAAATAAAATAAATTGCACACAATTAGCAAAATTAAGCAGGTACCATAGATTAATTTAGTATTCCAGATTTCGTGCTACTGTCTTTTTATAGGGCTTGTCTGTACAGGAAAGTTCTATTGTTTATATTAGTATAATTTTACCTGTATAGTTAAATCAATGTAATTATCCTTAAATAAGTCCCAGTGTGGACATGCTTATTCTGGACTGAAAGTGGCATCCCTCTCCCTACCCCCTTTTTAAATCCCCTTCCAAGCAACATAAGCAAATCTGAAAAGGCCTTTTTATACTAGAAAAAGCTGCAGTGCTTCAAACCAAACTGGACAAAGCTGTAGAAAATATAGAGACGACTCCTGTAATGAAAAAGAGATGGATTAAATTACCTACTAGGTCTTATCCATGGTTCTGAGTCTTCGAATGTCATCACAATCGAGGAAAACAATTTGTATTGTAAACAATAATGAGCAGTATCAGTTTGCTTCTCCTCTTTCACCCCTTTTCCAAGAAAATACTTAATATTATTTAAACTTGCTTACTCTGATTGAGTATAGTTGTTCAAATATTATATTTTTCCTTTATTGCTTTGCCACCTGCATGTGCTCTACAAATGGTGATTATAATACCACATCAAACAAAGCCTGCCTTGTGTTCTAAACTACATAAAGTGACATCACCTCTGCCATAATACACAGCGTATTTTTTCAAGGGACTGTTCTCACCTTCCCCTTGTGGTTCTCTGCAAAATTCTCATTCCAGTTAAAGTGCAGGATTTTGCTTCCCATATGCTGCTATGCTGTTCAATGTCTTCTCCAGAAGTAGGGGTCTGCAACTGCACTTCACTGAACATTCCATAAGCATCCTGAACAAGGAGGCATAATCTGCAAAACAGTGTTTAATGGTTCCATTAGCAAATTGCTCATAGTTTGGAACAATAGATAACGAATTGCAGAAATCATGATTGTCGGTTCCTCAGAGTAGGTATTAGCCTGAAATGCTTTGAAAGTATACTTTGCATATAATGGATAAATAAAAATAACAATGGTACCAATGACTTTTTCAAATATATTTGCAATAGACAAAGGATAACGAAAACTATGGAGAGCAAAGGAAAATGGAATTGAAGGATTTACACTGGGGGTTAGGAAACAGCAGGTAAGTAATACTTTATTCCTGATTTTATAAAAGAAGAGAATGCAAAACTGCCTGAAGTGTAGATGAATCTTCCAGAACGGATAGATAGTATACACAGATAACAACTAGTTATACAAAATTTCATCCGCTTAAATAAAACATTGGATTTGATGAGGTGAGCAAGAGTCTTCTGAAGAAAAAGGAATCTGATGAATATATTTTTTTAATTTAATTGAAATCAGAGTGACTCAGAGAACTGGAAATTGGCAAACACAACCAATTATTTAAATAAATTAATAAAAACCAAACCAAATAGGAAAATATACATCAGCAAGTTTAACGTTTGTTGTATAGAAAACTTAAAACTATCTTCAGGGATGTGATAAGAGAACCCCAAACAAACAGCGGACAGTCCACATAAAATCAAGGTTGAAAAGTCACGCTCAACTAATGTGCTGGAGTTCTTTGAAGATATCACTGACATGGTAGATAAGTCAGTGGATGAAGTATATACAGATTTTCACAAAGGTATTTTATCACAAGGTTCCACATCAGAGATTAGCAGCTAAAACAGTATGAGTCATAGAAGAGTGGGTGAACAAGGCTGCTGGATACAAAACTAGCTTAACTGACAGAGAGAGATGGGTGGGGGATGGTGGGTGGCGGGGGAAGGAGAGGGGAGAGTTGAGCAAGGAAGCCTTTCAAGAGCAAAAGGAATTATGGAGTACCCTTGCAAACAGTGCCACCAACATCTAGAGGCAGTCAATTCCTTTTTGGAGGAAACTAAGAGATGAGACAGAAGGTAGAATAAGAATTAAGGTAAATTTTAAAAGGGCAAGCACTGCTTCAAGAGGTTTCAAAGAGGCTTTTTGCAAACTCTCCTTAAGTTAGTTCAGGGATTGCAACCAGTGAATAGCAGAGAGAGTCTGGTATCTCTTCTTTCCGCTTATCATCTCTCTGGATCTACGGAATCATCTCTGTCCTCATCTTTCACCTGTACTTTACATGGAGCCCTCACACTATCCAGTCACATATTGGACTGCATATCAAGGACTCTGTCCAGCCTATCCAACAACTGACCGTTTTCCCTCCACACTGGACCTATTATTATCGACTCTCATTCCTTTCACATAGACTTTCCTTAAAAGGACAAGCAAGTTATCACAGTTATTACCTCAGCTCTCTGGTTAAGCCAGTAGTCTTTTCTAACAAGTACTACAACTTCTCATTTCTTGAGAAAGACTTTAGTGCCTGCAAACGTGAGACCAGACAGCAGCATGCTCATATTAAGGTCTAGTGGCCAAACAAAATGAGGATCTCTTGTGGACTTCCTCTGGAGCGGTGGGTGCGTGGCACTTCTGGAAATCAGGCGCAAAGTTGCTTGGGGTCGGCACCCAAAACGAGAGATCACTTTTGTAAAAGTTGTTCTTAGCCTCTCACATGGGGGTGGCTCATTCTTGTCCATCTTCATAAAGCCCAGGGAGGATCTTGCATGGGAATTCTATGTATGGACAAGGAGGTATTGTTTAAAATTGCTGTTTAACCATTAAAATCTGCATGCTTGGTCACCCCACCTTGTAAAACTCAGTTCCCCACCTTCAACACCCAGTTTTAACCTAATACCGGGCACATTCCTGGTGGTTGAAGCTGAGCAAGTATAAAGCCACAGGTGTATTTTCATAGATTCATAGATTTTAAAGTCAGAAGGGACCATTATGATCATCTAGTCTGACCCCCTGCACAGTGCAGGCCACAGAATCTCACCCACCCCTCCTAGAATAATCCTCTCACCTATATCTCAGATATTGAAGCCTTCAAATACTTTGAAGACCTCAAGATGCAGAGAATCCTCCAGCTGTGATCTGTACCCCATGCTACAGAGGAAGGCGAAAAACCTCCAGGGCCTCTGCCAATCTACCCTGGAAGAAAATTCCTTCCCAACCCCAAATATGGCGATCAGCTAAACCCTGAGCATGTGGGCAAGACTCAGTTGCTGCTGAAGTTGATCATTAGAATATAGTGCACAAACGAGATCCAAATTGCATGCACTGTTCTTTCTTACAGAAAAGTAGCTTCTAGAAAACTTGGTCCATGTGCAGTAAAGGGCAGGCCACATGAGTAATGATGGATGCATTGTGGAATAGCAGTGGGAGAATTATACTATTGGAGCTATAACATCAACAATACCACCCAGAATGGTACTGCATCAGTGATTACTAGTAGAGCAGAGAAGCACAAACAGTATATTTGCTCACCATGAGTTTAATCTAAAGATCTATATGATTGCTTTTACCTTATTGTGAGAATATAAGTATGTATATGGGTTATTACAAATGTGCTGGGGGCAGCAAGCAATGGTTAATATTATTCTAATATACACAGGTCTTAAATGAGATTAGAACATCAATTTATCTGAAAAACTTAATTCCAGATTGGAACTCAAGATAAGGAACATCACAGACTAACAACAGGACTTGGGACAGGACATAAAAAATATTTACCTCCTTTAAAAATGTTTGCAAGCATAAGTGAAATAATGAAAAAACCTGAGAATTAGTTGTACTGATCATAAACCCAACATTTCTCACTAAGAAAGAAAGAAAATGAGACCAACACTGTAAGTATCTAATTAAGGACAATCAACTTTCCTCTTCACTTGTACAACAAAAATAACTTTGCAGCACAACAGGATCTAGAAATGTATTCACAGAACTCTTCATGTCATCATAGGTGCAGCTGGCTCAGTTCTTACAGATCCATTCAAACACTACTATCATCACCACCACCGTAAATGGATGTAGCCTACTGGCTCACTGAGGCTGTTGATGCAAGAAACATACCTACATGACAAGAGACCAACCATGTAATCCAAAATCTAATTGTTCAGGACTTCATCACTCATCTAAGAAAATTCAGTAATACATTGACTACAAATACATCTCTCCCTAAAGTTCAATAGGCATCAACAGATTGAATAATATTGTACATTTTCTAAATAAATGTTTAACACATTGTTATACATATTCCCGAACTACTATACAAAAAAAAAAAAAAACCCCACTGTTACTCAATGGTGTCTAAATGTGTTGTGGGGATAAGGCCCATACAGTCTTTTTCAAAACACAGAGCACTCAGTTTGTAAGACTCACTGATGTGAAATCAATTGCATATAGTGATCAACCCCACTGGGACAAAATCATTCTTATGCTAACTAAAACATTCCACTTACAAGAATCAACCACTTATAAAAATCAAAATCTGGGATGGATGTGATTCTTACAAGAGGAGTGCACTGTAACAGCCTGGAAGACCTAGAATATGTGTCCCTACAGAGGAATTTAATTTAAATGATGGCTGTGGAAAAAGAGACTTCAGTTGAAATGGGACAGAGTTACTTCTAACATGGGAAACCGCATGAAGATGAGAGTGTGGGAAGACAACTAAGGAAGAAGTGAGGTGTGACTCATTGATAAGAGCAAAGGGGGCAAGGGCAGGGAATGATAAGAAATGAGGCAGAGATTAGTCAGTTATTTAAAAAAAAAGGTAATCACACAGTGAGTCTTCTTTTAAACTTTGGGAAGATTTTGTTAATTTCCTAAAAGTCCTGGAGATTGGGGGCAGGAACAGGAGAGACTGATTATTTTGCATTTTTGACTGCAGTAATATTAAGGACTAAATATTTCCCACTGGAAATATGATTATAGCATTGCACTGTTGTGACCCTCTTAGATAGGCATCCTTCACAGTGAAGGAGTAAGACTCCATTTTCTTCTCTTTAGTTATATATGAAACACACCGTACAGCTATGGTGCTGCCTCAAATCTTGTGCTTTAGTCTCTTGGAAGGATGGGAGTGAGTAGAATCCGGTTGTGCTTAATCATTCCACAGCTGACAACTATCTTCATGATATCCGCTAGAGAGAGGAATAATGTATGGTGAACTATGCCTAGTTCTGGAAGGGAGGAGAGGATGGCTGAGGATCAAGGAACAAGAAGGCTAGCAGCGAATGAAGATTCGGTAGTTACCCAGCTCTTGTTCACATCTTGTGGAAATATGCAGATTTCTCATAGACAGAACTTAACTAAAAATAATTGTGTTTTATCAAAGGTAAAAGGACCACACAGATTTTTTGTTTAGTTACATTTTAAGGAAAACACTCCAGATTATGGTGAGAAAGACAAAAGCGGAAACCTGTGTGTACGAGTCCCCAACCAATCTCTTACAATAAGCAAAAGGGACACTGTTAGTTGTTTCTTTGGAAGGGAAAGGAAAAGGGTAAGGAGAGTGGGAGAGAGGGTGGAGGGAAGGGGAAAGCTTATACAAGCCTTAACACCAAAGTTTGTTCATCCTGTATCTGAACCATCAAAGTAGGGTATTGTTAATTATTATTCTTTGCTGGGGAAGATTTCTTATCTATTTTTGTGTGCTCCTAGCAGAGAGAAAAAGCACACCTACAAACACTCCCTTCTCTCTCCATCACCACAGGCACACCACTCTGCCTACACAATTCCAATTCAGCAACTTGTCTAGTCAAGTCTCAAGGTGGAGCTTCTTAACTCCTGGATGGCTTAGATTCAAACTGTAACCTTCAGAACATACACCCAAGCTGTATTTAACTTATCTGAACCTCACAAATGCACACAAGAAGCCATCCACCCACATGCAAATGAAGCAGCCCTTCTGATCATTGTACATGTCACCGTTGGAAAAAATCAAAGCTGGAGACATAGATAGGATTGCCACCCAT